TTAAAAATTCAAGATTAGATGATTTGCATAAATCTTAATCATAAATTATTGCAAGTGAGCTATTCAAAGATAAATTATATTTAAAAATATTTACTTAAATCTACTTTTTAAGTGCAAAATAAGGAAAATTATTTTATTTTAACAATAATTTATATCTTTTTTCTGCTTTTATTGAAAAATTATTGCATGTTAAAGAGGAACAAATTCATCATAAATTTGGCTATTTTAAATAAAGGAGTAAATAACATAAACACATATGGAATTATATTATATTGAATGAAAAATTTAAAAGCACAAGATGAATGACATTCATATTTGATTATAATATGTAAATGTGTGTCAAGTTCAATATTAACTTTTAATAATTGTTAATAAGATAAAGAAAAAGATAGTGCGTTTATACAACAATAAAATTTAAAAGCAATCAAATTCACTTTATTTTTTATTGAATTATTTCTTTTGATTGGTGTTTAGCGTTTATTTGATTTTTTTGTTTCTTTATTTGTGCTTGCCTTTATTTTGGGTATTATTCAAGTTAATAATATTAAACATATTAATTACCAAAGTAAATAATTTAATTTTTATCTGAAATTTTAAATCAAGGAGAAGTTGAATAAAAATAGAGAGAAAAACACACAATTAAATCAAAACCCCAAAATATACCATTCGAAAACCAATAAAGGAAAATTAATAACTAGTCAAATTTTATTTTTGAAGAGTTATTTTCTCCAAAGGCAATAATTTTTTAATCCTCCATAAGCCAGCAAAAATTTTGTGAGACTTGATAGTGTGATTATAGTATTGAATTAATATTTGATTTGATTCTAAACATATTAAATTCACAACCAACTATTTATTTTACAGTTAATAGATATTATTTTAAATATTTTTTATTTAAAGAAGACTTTTGGTGTTAGCCATTCGTATATTCATTCTTATTAATTCTTAGTTTTTTAAATTTCAGATTATTTTTCAATTCAAAGAGAATTCTTGCTCAAGCAAAGAGTAGCGAAAAGATAATCAAACGCTAAAATAAATAAATTAGCAATATTAAATTTTACTTAAGTGAAAAAACCTTAAAAATAAATTTTTTTATCAAATTTTACTTTGCTGTCATTCTAATCTAATGTGTAATTAGGTATTTAGTTTGTTAAAAGTGACTATTTTTATGAAGAAGAAAATAGAATCATTCATTCATTTCCTTCTTAGCATAAATTAATTCAAAATGAATGAGTTAATTGTCTAAACAATAAATTTTATTTTTAAATAAAAATAAATTAATTTATTCTACCCCAACCTATAAACAAATAAACATGTATGTATATATGTATTAAAATTCAATTAATAGATATATTTCTATATTTGAATTAAGAATTTACTCTCATTATAAAGAGTCATTATTAATCCCATTAGGTAATTATTGACAAAAGATTGTTTTTTGAAAAATTTATTACGCAAAATGATAAAATATTAAAATTTACTAACAAATATTTGTTCAAATTAAGAGTATTTTTGAAGAAAGAATTAAGATGGTTTTTTTGTTTGTAGTGATTAGTACTTTTTAACTAATTAATGCAAAAATTTCTTATATTTGATTGTAAAGAAAATACAAACAAATTAAAAGCAGAGTAAATGCAATCAACTAGAAAGGAGAGTAATTAAAAGTGGTATTATTGAAATAAATGTAACGAAATAATTAATATTTAATTTAAATCATAAGAGCGAAATAAAATTCCCCCAATGATTTTGAATATTTGTATGTCGATCAGTCTGTTAATATATATTTATATTATTATGATAATTATTTAGCAAAGAGTTAGTGCGAGAGAATGAAGAGAAAGTGAAGCTGGCTGATTAAATTTCAAGTGAGTGCAATTAATTTGTATTTAATGTGCTAATTAATTGATTCACATTATTATTTTGATATTATTGAAGGGGTAGGCTTATTTATTTTATTCGCTAGTTATTCTGCGAATAGTTAATTAAAGAAAATTTAAAAAAAGGAATTAATTCAAAGTTTATTTATATTTGTACATATACACATATATACAAACAAACATAGATAGATAGATAATGTATATTTATATATTTATTATAAATCATCTTATTAAAGCAGTAACAAAAAAAATCAATTAATTATTAATTAATTAAATTGAAAAATAATACAAAAGTCAAAACAACTTAGAAAACGAAAAAAAAGCACTAAAATTAATAATCAATTAAATTAACAAATCTGCACCCTTTAATCAATCAATAATATCTTAAAATGAGCTCGAAAACCTCAACATTACGCAGGAACGTTTCAGCTCTTTCTTCATCTGCATAAGAAAGTTCTTCTTAGTATTTTGCCTCTTCTTCATCTCACTTAGATGCAGCCACAATTGAGTCACCTCAGCTTCTGAATTTTGAGGCATCTGTGCCTTTAGATGATGTGACCACTATCAATGTAAAATCAAGTAGAATTTCTTCTAAGCAAAGGGGATATGAAAAGCCCAGAGTTGCTAACAACGATTATGAAGAGAGCGAGAATGCTTTTTACGAAAGCGATACCTCTAACTGGAGCTTGACTGGAAATAACCACAAAAAAACTACTAGCAAAAAATGCATCGACAGTAATTAGCATAAAAGCTAGAAAAAAACAAAGTAAATTTAAAAGAATAAAAAATCCTTACAAGAATCTTCAAAGTAATCAGAAAAAAAATATGGTAGAAACAAAAATATTAAATAAAATATACCAATTAGAAATTTTGTTGTGTAGGAAATATTTTAAAAACAACAACAACAAAGTCAAAATGTGCACATTTTGGGAGGATTAATTATGAGCTAAAATCAAAGTGTGAAGAGAGAACA